CACTTACCTACTCAAATTAAGGGTAAATGCACGTAATTTGAAAAATTTTGACTTATTTCTAGATTGTTTTTCCAGTGTGTGAGCTAAAAAAAACAAAACAAATGAACAGCAATAATTTACTGCAGAGAATAAACCTGGAGCACCTGTTTAGATTTTGTCAATTTCAATTGGTGCTTTGAAAAAACAAATCAGAACATGCATTCCAAAATACCTCATGCTCTCATTTTCCGATGGCTATCGAGGTGTGAAGACTTTTTATATCCACTTTATATGATGCATGTCTCTGAAATAGTCTCACCTCTGGAGGTATTAGTGCATGGAGGATAACATTTTGAGAGGAGTTTTTCCCATCCTCTGCATCCTCCTCAGTGTGTGCTACATCACTGCTGTCACTGTGGTTGGCTTCATGGGTGCTGTCATAGTCTGATGACACAACCACTTGGTCCTCTGTCAATAAAGAAAGACATATTGGGGTTTTTACAAAGTCAGTGACTTATTTAAATAGGTTTCCTTGGTCACAGTCATCACTAGCGTTACATACTAAGCTGAATTAGACCGTTTTCTTTATAAATGGGGTTGAATATATATATAATTTACTTCTGAGCAGCATAATTATATTTCAATCTGAAAAACTTGCACGGAGTAAAAAGACAATTAGAAGAAATTTATTGATACAACTAGTTGGTCTTTGGCGCTCAGACCTCGGCAGGAAACATAGCGCTGAATTTTGATAGATATGAATGAACAGGAGTAAAGCATAGGGCTGTTCCCCCCCAGGCCTGAAACTGGTGGTAGAGTGGAGATAGATGAAGTTGGTCAGTCTGTAGACTGCTGGTTAGCGAGACGGTCTGCTGAGCTTTATGGGGAGATCCAGTGATTGCATGAGCTGATACTAGAGCTTCACTCAGGGACCTGGAAGATGGAAGTCCAGTTTGGATAACACAAGTTGAGAGAACCTGTCCGTGATGAGCAAGCATGAAGCGACAGTGGAGAGGAAAAACTCCCTGTTGGGAAGAAACCTCTGGCAGAACCAGACTCAACATGCCAGACTGGTTGAACAGGGATGCGTAATGTAGTAAGAGTCCAGGAGGAAAGAAACTCTGATGAAGTTTTGGCTACGATGGTGGAGGACGGGCAGGAGGTGGGTTGAAACGGGGTCATCTGAATGAAGTCACATGGTGCAACCACCGCCTGCGCTCTAAGTAGCAGACGAGTTGCGGATCGGAGGCCTTTTAATGAACTTTAGATCCTGATTAGCTTTCGTGAAGGCGTGGCTCAAAGCTGATTGGCTGTGTCGTAGGCTGATGAAGGCCAATAATCAGTTTAATCAGTTGAACTTCCACCAAGGCTCCATTGAATTTACATGAATTCATTTGATATAAATTGAGCTAGACCCTTCATGGTTAGACATGAATTCCACTTTTCTGAATAAAGTAAACTAAAGTTAACCGTCTTCCTTTCATCTTAAAATAAATAGTGTCTTGTGTTAGGAATTTATTGGTAATTTTATTGCAGATTGAAAATCACTGCAAATGCTGTTACACATCCACAGCATAACAAAGAAGTGACTGCTCCACTTAAATACATCTTTTTCTGCTGACTACTGTTACTGGTAGTGTCAGCTTTTATAATGGGGTTTTTGCGTCTAGATAAAAAAAAATGGCATCTCAGTTTTTACAGCTTACTTATAAAGTTTTCGATCCATTTATAGAAAATCACTTTGAGAGTTCAGGAACTTCTGCTTGTGCACAAGAGATATATTTGTACTTTGAATAAAAAAAACAAAAAAACAAAAAAAACAAAAAAACAGAAATTAGGCAAACTAAATAAATCATTGCACTGCAAAAGGGATCTAGAAATGAGCAAAAATGTCTTCAATTAAGTGTATTTAGCCTTAATTTGAGTAGGTAAATAAGATAATTTGCCAATGGAATGAGTACTTTTACTCTTAAAGTAAGATAATTAGATAATATGCTCTTGAAATAAGACAAGGCAATTGTTTTTTTTTTCTTATTTTAAATATAAATTGTCTTTTTCCATTGGCAAAGTGTCTCACTTCATCCTCATTTCAAGAAAAAATGCACTTATTGCAAGAAAAAAATGACTTATTTAGATATCTTTTTTGAAGTGTG